TGCGATCGTTGCTTTAAATGAACGGTAAAATGTGCTTCCTTCCTAATGGCGACGACTTTTTAACTGTAAATTAAAGTTTCCCAGCAAGTACTTGCTAACATTTCGCGTAAGATCGAGATGTACGGGCTGAAACTTGCAAAGAAGCACGTTCCATGTAATTATTTATTGTACATCCGAAGTAGCTGTCGCATTACCGAAAGATCGTGAATTTATTGCTTCTATTATTTCTTTTATTTACAACTGTTCGAACATTCTTTAAATTCTGTCTGTTAATTAAAAACGTCTCCACATATACTGAGTTGGGCAATAACTTTGTCCATCTGCATTTCGCTATTTTTAAAGATATGAGAATATTTTAATTACGAAATTGTGTGTGTGTGTGTAGTATCAAGAGGGTCATAATATGCTAATAACAATTTTTCTGTGGGTGGAGGCGCTTTGGAGATTTCAAAATCACCTCCATTTTTTTAGATACTATGCTATACTTTCTTATCCTTAATGTACTAACGGATGTACATACGATTTCAACGATCTATAGTACAAAATCATTCGACATTAAATAAAGGATTAAGACAATGTTTCTCACGTGATAAGAATCATGTTCGAAGTGATGTCCGTTTATATTAAAGCGACATTACAATCGTTGAATTCTTAAAGTACCTAGTGCAATCAATTTGGAAATGATAAGAAATATACAGCTTCAGGAATTCGCGAACAATAACCTACCTACATAGCGCAGAGAGTTCAAAAAGAATTCATTTGTATGTCGCCAATTCTGAGTTCATTTTCACCCGCAAAAAGAATTCAGAACTGATGACTTACAAGTGAATTTTTTTTTAAATCTCTGTGCTATCTGGGTAGCTTACTTTTTATCCCTCACCTCTACGACGATTCGTTCGGGAATTTACGGGCCCCGTGAATGCTCCATATATATGATAGCGGACGATGGCACCCTCTGAATGCGGCTCGAGGGTAGCGAGCACGTGGGTAGCGAGCACGTGGCTTCGTGGTCGCCAGCTGTGTTTACATAACACAGCGATGGTGGGGGCAAGGCCGCGATTTCGGAAGAGGTAAGCAGATACTGCATGCGGCATTCCTAGAATTGTGGCGGGGAATGCGACTGTGGAACGCGACCGTCGTTTCCACCAACGCGTAACGGCATCTCGTACGGTTCTACCGACGTCGTACATGGACCAGGATAAGGTGGCGCACCGCTCTACACAAACATTGATATTTTCGCTTCCAGTGGTCGTAACGAGTTGAAATAAACAGCCGTCAGAAAGCTAAAGGATCGTCTACAATAGCCATATAACCGGGATCAATTGGATTCTTCCTGAATTTCCAAGAATAATTAACTGTATTTGGCCAATTACCTTACGTCTTACTGTATACTTTATAGCTATTGCCTGCGTTGCGACATTTACCGCCGCTAGTACTAAAATCTATAGTTTATGTTATATATACCCATTCAATTTCAGTACTGGCAGTGAATAGTAGAATGCAGTCATATTGTAGACGGTCTTTAAGATTTTCGCGCACCTGATAGATGTAAAATCATTATATAAAAGGACCAATGTAACGCTACATAAATCATTGACATTCGGGACTTTCTGAGAGCTAAATTTCTATTGAAACTAACTAGAGCTATTTCTTTTACATTGTTATAAGTTTATATTGATAAATAAGTGTATGTTAAGGCTCTTGAGCACATTTGTAAAATTGTCCAAATGTTTACTCGAACAATCAATAAATAGTCACGAAATTAGCTTGACATTTTTTTTTAACCTCTTTTTCTTAATTTTGTCAATGTTAATTTTACAACTATTTATTGATTTTCCGAGTAAAAGGAAAATGTTCGGATAACTTTGCAAGTGTGCTAAATCGATTACAAGTGTCATTTTATGGATATATTTTTTTATTTGAAAGTATAACGCAGGAAATCTTGGCATGCGTTTTCTCACTTCTGATGTCATTAAACAGTCACAGTGACTACTCAGGAGCGTTAAAATAAATTATGGGCGTAATAGGCACCGTAGATGTCGCGAGTTCATTAAAATCTAGTTTCCACGCACAATAGTTACATAATGAAAATATTATTTCGGTTAAGTGCTTTATCCTTTATTGCAAGTTTGAGTAGGATGGAATTTTATGGCGAATCCTAGCGCCGCAAATCGATCGAGACGGACAGACGCTGTCGTGTTATCATAAAGCGTTTAACAGCGGTGAAAATTGCACGATAAAAATTTTCATTGTACGAGTGCATGCAAGCAAATGTTCTGTAAAAACTCAAACGTGCGCGTATAATTCACCCATGGACAAGAAAGGCCTTGTCCGCACAAGGAAGGATTATTTTTCTTTTATCCTCTCTTTTTTCACGAGCAGTCGGATTCCGCAAAATGCGCACGTGCATCTAAGAGCTCATTCTGCGCCATGCGGAATATGGAAAATTGCATGCATACCGAGGCATACAAAACAGCGATTCTCAAATAGAAGCCCGTGAAAGTGCCTCGGGCGAGGCGCAATGGAAAATTCTGCAAATTCATCTGCTTTAATTTACACTTTTAACGCTAGCGGGGAATTTGGGTATTTTTCTCTCTAACCGAAGGTAGGTTTCGGGACCTTCTGCGTCAGCCCGCGCTAAAATATCGCCCGGAGAGCGATCGAAATCGATTGAGAATTGCGGAAACGAGAAACCGTCGTTGCATGGCGAGCCACTCGCTACAAGGAAGACCCGACTAAACAGCGGCTATGCCTAGGCGGTAAAACGGTTTATTATTATATCTCCGGTATCGCAACTCGGACCACAAAGATGTCGACGCATTAATTACGCTTCCATTAATGTAAAACACGCGCGCTACATTGTTTCGACGATTCCGAGATGCGCCGGTTGAAATATGCTTGTTTAACGACTTGGCGATGCTGGAAATTCCTGATTGCCATGTGTAAGCCGCGCATACATTCGCAGCGGAATGTATGAAATCGCCCGTGCCTTCACCCACGATCTCGCTCTCTTCGCTTTATTCGCTTTACTCAGTAACAATCGAGAATCGTTACACTTTCTACTCGCGATCCCGTTACCGGGCCTTTAAGAAGCGACGATGTGAGATTCCCGCGGTGTACTCTTTCATTTTTGTCATCAGCGGGCCATAATCCCGATGTAGCCGTCCACAAAATTGACCCCGTTGCCGTTACTTAAGGCTGTTCGTTTGAAATGCAGCCGGCGACGCGGCGTTGCGGCGCAGCGTACAAATTTCGCCCCGGAGAGTTCCGTCCTTCCTCAAATTTACAATAAGAGCCACAAAGTAATCACGAGCAAGTCGGAGGCTCGTTATAGAAAAATATCTGCACGCACGATACGTGCCTCGGGATGCAAGAGGGAGCCCGACTCCCTCCGGGAATTCAGTCGGATGAGAAGTCCATCGTTGAAAAGGTGGGTGGACGCGGGGACGATGGGTCGAACCTCGGCGAGGAATTGAATTACGTTTTGCCGTAGCCGGCTTAACAAAAGGAAGGTAATGGTCGGCGGTAAAACGGCACATCGAGCGTAGTCGTTGCCCGCCCGTCCTCCAGCCTTCCTGCAAATTACTGGCGTACCATCGCGATCTCCCCGTGAGCCCGGGCTCTTCTATTTACGATACCTCTTCGGCGGACGTTAATCGGACTGTTCGACGGACGAGCGGCCATTCCCATTCCGAAAAATGTGTCAAGCGATCTTCCTTCATGAATCTCTTTTTTTCTCCTTGTCGCTGTCCGATCCTGAGTCCGACGAAGCACACAGCGAAAGACCACACTCGACATTCCCCCGGATACTTACGTCTATGATTGATTGTCATTTTGCCGGCGACGCCCGAGAAGCCGAGAGTAGGCGGTCGAGATTTTCTCATGGTCGACTCTAATTCAAGTTCGATCGATTGCGAGGCCACCGGGGGACCATCCGCCTTTCAAACGGCCCGCAGCACGTCTCGCCTTTCATCTTCGCGAGTGTTCCTCCTCCGACGATATTACGCTTTTTCATGCCGGACTCGTCCCCGGAAAACGCGCGCCGCCTTTGGCGATATTGGGCTATTTTTATACGTTATCAGACGATCATAAGGCGGACGGAAAAAACGGCAGTTAAAAACGTTGACTATGTCGGACAGTAAGTCGACATTTACTAATTATTAATTACACACTGCGCGTTAAATCACGCGCTTTCGCACAGGCCGCGAGATAAAATCCCCGACTGTTCTTGTAATGTGATTATACATGTTTGTTGCAAATTCATGACTCTCCGCGAGCAACGCACTCGTTCATAATGCAAAATAGATTCGCCAACACACGTGAGATAAAATGTCTGCAACGATAAAGGAGCCGTTTGCCATATTAATCAGATCGGGTGGTAAAAAGAAAAGACACCGACGCAGAAATGGATTCGGTCGTAATGCAGGGCGAGAGGTCATGTTTGATTAAGATTCTCGACTGCAACGGTCGCGAACGAAATTGCACGCAGAGGAAGAATTAGCCATAAAAGCTAAAATCTAGCTGTTGTAGTTGAGAAGCGAATAGGAACAGCGAATGTCATTACTGCTTGCAGCTAATAAATTTAGCTGCAGTAACGATATTAACTATTAGAAATTAAATATATAAAATAATTTGCTGCAAGGTACAATCATGTTGTTCGCTGTGAAGTTTTAGTTCGAACAGCTAATAAATTTAGCTGCGGTAGCAATGAAATTAGCTTTCCCTAGCTTAGTTCCTATTGCGAATTCTTTCTCTACGTGCGTTCGTCTCGAATTTTGCACCACAGAGAGCAGCGTCGCTTTAATTTTAATTTCCTGTAGGCACGCGCGCGAGAAGATTAAATCGTCAAGCAAAGGGATATGCCATGCGTGAAAGGGTTAATGCACTGTGATAAATAAAGACCGGGTGTATCGCGCAGGAGCCCCGGGGATAAGTGATCGACGTGTGTACAAGGATTATCTTGTCGCGTGGATCAGTTATGGCATTTCTGATGGACTTACCATTGATCACGTGCACGTTGACACTCGCTCTCTCCGCCACCGTAGGAACGCAACTGTAGTTTCCGGAGTCACTGGGCTTCGCATGCGTGATCCTCAATCTGTTGTAACAAAAGGATAATCGCCTTAATTGTAGCCGCGATTCACGGAATTCACGGTTGTCTACATGAGACGCGATGTGAATCGGCGTCACCGTGCAAATTAGGGTGACCAACTGTCCCGATTTTCACGGGACATTCCGATTTTCGGCTCTCATTAGAGTCATTGAATTTTTGTCATTGAATCAAGATTTATTCCAATTATGTTACTGTTGGAAATTTATTAATTCAACAGCATTTTTCCCGTGTATGTTCCGTTAATTGTTCCTGGATTTTATTTGAGGAATTTTATCAGTCTGTTTTCATATAAACTAATGATTATTTATATTAAATCACAATAGAAAACAATATTTAGTTGATTATTTGATCTTGACGTAATAATGAATAAACATTTTATTCACTTATCTACTATCTAATTAATTTATTTTTTTATAAAAAGTCCCGATTTTTTGTTCGTACTCCAACTTTTTAAGATCGATATCTTGCTGATTAAGAGTTGGTTATCCTAGTGCAAACGCAACGAAAATCGCGAAATTTCCCCGGGATTAATTGTAAAACAAGACCGTGTTGTTTTCGAACTACGAATGCCATGTTTTCGTTAGGAGGAACAAACAAACAACGCCGATATTTGAAGTTATAAATTTTTTACAATCTCTGATTGAAAACATGATTAATTATTGATCCGTATTCGCAGACCCGTTATTCAGTTATTCCAATCGATATTTCTCGTGTGGAACAAGTATGGATTGACGAATAATCAGAGATTCATGTAATTATGATTATTTGTCAAATAATAACGGGCCGTGAATGCCGGCCTTAGGTAGCGATATGATGCTGTAGACATTATATATGCGCAACACACGTTGCTCTTGTTTCGTTACGTACGCTACCGCAGAATCGTTCTAACGTTACATACGCTAACAGTGAATAGTTTCATCGGAGCACCGTGTGAAGTTAGGATTTCGTGTAAAATACCTAACGACGCAACTGGCATACAATGAAGTATCGTTAATTCGACGATAATTATCCGGCGACGTTATTAGCAGTAGCGCGCAGTCCAATTACCGTTCCCCCGGTTCCTCCCGTTCTATAATGCATACTTTTGTCAGAGGTATTCTCGATATGCATGCAAATTTCATCATGTTACGTAATCCCGTGGTACGATACTGTGGTACGGAGATATTTCTATTTCATCGGATATCGTCATGTCAGTGAATTACTAACCAAATCATGCAACAGATGATGATCACGCAACATGATAACGCAAGTGCGTGCTGAAATTGTCCGCGGAGGTACACGACATTGAATAAGACCGGAAAAACGATAAGGCGTCCACAACGGAGCTATGATGCCCGTGTCAAATAATAGTAACGGTGTGTACTTTTACGCCCGATCGAATGACGAAACGTTACATCGTGTTCGTTTTCTCGCCGAGAAAGAAAACACACACGTCCCGAGGTAAGACCCGGGCGCGCCTCAACGTTTGCGCGACGCGCAATAATTTCTCCCGCTTCGTCTATTTTCCTCGCTCTCGAACTCTGTATAGCACTTGATCGAGCCTCCCCGGCCGCAATAATCGAGGAACAGGCAGGAGAGCTGTTGTATTTCTCTCTTTTTTTTTTTTCTATTCATTCGTTTTCCATTCCGTTTGCTCCATTCTCGTTAACGTTATGAGCCGTAAATCGGGTCGAGCGGCCCGATAGAAATCGGAACGGGCTCGGATTCTCGCGGTGTATCGCGTGTCCGAAAGTTTTTGCAGATGCGACGGGAACAGTTTCTCAAATATGGGTATCGAATTCGCACGGGGATATCGCGAAATCGCGCGCACATGTGCGACGCGAGTCGGCCGGGAATTTTTGCAGAGAAAATCCGCTCCCGGACAGGCACGACGCGGAGAGAGGTGCATTAATAAACCGCGCCGCCACCTCGCGCGCAAGGAGAGATAAACACGTATAATTACGTGCGCGTGAGAGATAAAGTCGCGGTACATATAAAAGTTAATCGGCAGTCGGCTAATTTAACGGCCAACTAGCTGGAAAAGCGACTCGTACGCTCATGTTCTAAATGATAGCCCATATTAACGGAGAATTTTCTGCGATTAAAGCGCGACTTTGCGCGTAAAATGTTTGTTAATTAATACGGAGTGAAGCCCGATGGTGGGAGGATTATTAATTACATATGTGCGAATTGCTCGTGTTTGTGCGGAATATTTATCGGGATGTTCGTGGCGCATTTTCATCTTTCATTCCCACCGGGAGGGTATGAAGTATCACGAAAGCTTCAGTTAATTAATCTTCAGATTATCGCTCTCCAATTTGGTCGTTTCTTTTCCCTCTCTTTTTCCCTTTCTCTCTCTTCCTTCCTCTTGGATAATCATCCAAGTAGGATTTTGCTACTAGCGAGGTAGTAACCTAATACTGATTTGTGGTATACAGTACCGGCGTAGTATCATATATTAGGCATGCCAATATTGGCGTAATACTGGCGAAATATTGCGATTGATAGAAAAGAGCCAATATTGTAAATCAATATTGAAAATGATCGATTCCCGGTAAGGATTATTGTTATTGTATAATTGTTAATATCACAACCATACTATGGAAGGAAGGTTCAGAACTATGGCCAAGGTACCTGCTTGTACCTACATATTTCCATTTTTAATGTCATATAGTAGGACCTTGTTATAAGTTCGGTTTGGAGTTATACGAGTATAAGACGGACTTATAACAGAGTCCCTTTCTAATACCAATAATATACTTTTTTAAATATTGAGCTAATACTGGACCAATACCGACGCATGACATCTGTTTTTCGATACTGGTGCAGTACCGCAGCAGTATCTTATGCTGGCAGAATGTATACACTCAGGGAAATGTTTTGCTGGTCCAGAATTTTAGAATTCTGGACTAGAATCCGAAAAATGTCATAGATAAAATGTATCGTTGTTTCCTGTATCTGCTAAAAAAATTGTCTGCGGTACCTATAATTTACGATAACAGCATTCTAGCAATATATGTTGGAAAATTTAGATCCTGTTACTAATTTTTAACCCGTAAGTGGACGCGTAATTCTTTGAGGAATAGAACAACTGCTGTTCAGAGCTGAAATTTTCGATACCGTTATTAACGCTACTTCCCTAAATTTAAAAGTAAGTAACAGAGGTAAATAATATAGGAATTTACTGAAAACATCAGTATTGCAGACGAAAACGAAACGGAGAAACATTCGTTTGTCTATACATCTGTCGGTCAGTTTGACCGGCACGCGCCTACTTACGGATTAATTAAAAGTGTGGCTGGCTTTAATCTGGATGGTCTCCACAGAGAAACTTTCTTGCTAAATTAGGTAAATAATTCAGATAAAAATTCTGTCTCTCTCATCTATATCCGATACAATATAAATGTGGCATTGAAGTGTTTGCTAGTCAGTTATCTATCTCAGCTAATTTCTCGAATCTAGATTATTTTCGCTATGACTGCAAGACCATTTTTTAAATGTACGATTCCTACGTGGGCATTCTTATCTTAAATGCTCGTGTATTACGCGTCGTTTTTAGACAAGGAGCGGCGCATAGTTTAGCCGGGACACGTATACAATACCGGTACGTTATACGTGGACAATGGGGACACCGGTTACACGGCGTCCGTGCGAAGAAGTTACGCGGAGCGCAGCTCCCAATAGATTATCGATTACTCATTTACTTCCCGTATTTCAGTAGTTAGCTTCATCGTGCGGCATCGTAATACATCGCGCTCGTGGGACCAATAACGGTCGCTTAAGGTTACGTAACGCCGCTGGCGCGGGCGCGACTGCCGCATTCGTGAACCGAACGCCCCGCGAAATAATTATTTTGGCTCCGGGAAACGGCGACGACGACGACGATGGCGACGGGCTTTAGCGAGGTGGACGGAGACCCGGGGATAATGAAAACGTATAGCGGCGCTGGACTAAGCTCTTCGACAACGACGAACCTCCGCCACTTTCGTCCGCCGGGGCTGGTAAAGGAAGAGAGGGACGGGTAATCTCGATGTGACAGAATAAAACGATATCCGGTTACACGCTACGTTATCGAGCTCGGGCGATTTATGTGCGCGGAAGTTCGAGACTTGAAAATCGGGCTCGTACATTAGCCGTTTCGTTTAACGTGAAATTTGAATATCTCGATCTCTTTATGAATGCGAATATTTACTATATCCGGGAATACCGTATGAATATTTCACTGGGAGTGTAATATAATGTCCAGATAATCTTCATACTATTTCATCAGGAATTTCATACTACCGTGGAGGATTTCGCGGTATTTTAAAAGACTTGAAAAATACATGTAGAGGAAACCGGGGTTAATGGGCTAATGGACTATTTCTGCTATTTTCTAACAGATTACAGAATCGAGCAAGCAAAATCGATTAAACATCGAAGATGGTTATGAAATCCTTATTTGCTCGGTTCGGTAACTTGTTAGAAAACAATAGAAATAATGAATTTGTCTCTTTACCTAAATTAGTTTTAAGCCGGCTCCACACGATGGTAACATACAAATGGCAATACAGGATAATAAAAACCCGTGTAGTGATATTATATGCCTAAAAATTATTTATATTTTAGAAAAGGAATAGTAACGTGCGATCTAATAATTACTACTCACAATATGGTTATAAGTTATTTTTATTCTATATGTCGGGGGAGAGGGGGGTTATTGTCACATGTCACGTAATATTGGGAGGGGGCAAATATTTTATGACGAAATTTTGTGATGAAGTGGAGGAGGCGTAAAATATACCGAAATTTAGTGTGACGTAATCGTTAAGTGATCTTTTGGGCCGCTTGAATTTTTAGGTGTCTAAGTTATACAAAAAAAAAGAAAGAAATTCGGTACACAGCAGAATGAAAATGATCAAAAGGCAAGGCAGCAGGTGTACTGATATTAATATTTTATAATAATTATAGAAGCGTATCTTTCTGCTCATATAAAAATATTTCCGCGTACAGTCTGTCGCGAGTAAAGGGCCTCGACTATTTCCGCGGATCTTGGCGCTGATTGCAGCTATTGTTGAATGAATACACGGCGATGCGCGAAGATGAGCCGACCGCGATGACATCCCCATGGCAACGTTTCCACCGTGACCAGCACGGCACTTTCAGACAATCCTATCGGATTTACGGAAAGCGGACGTATACACGACGGAAGTCGCGGGCCGGCAGCTGGGCCGACAATTAATTCGCTTCTTGAGCCGCAGCCTCGTAAATTTGTCGGCGCGGTGACGCGTCCTCGTGACAATCGTCAATCACGTCCAAAAACGGACGCGCGGCGTCGCATCGCGTCGCGTTGCGTCGTGGCGGACACAACGGCGACTGCGGCGCAATATTCGAGCCGACACAAGCGGCCCGGCTAACAGCTAGCTCGTCCGAAATGCGGAGCATGTCCGATGCGTCTTCACGGTACGCGGGCCACGTGACAGAGGACCCTGTTGTCTCAGCTCTGCGCCGGACAATTAGAATAATCAGACGTCACGCGACGCCACGGCGCGGCGGCGCCCCTCTGAACCTCTGAAGATTCACCTGATTTCCCATTCAACGACTTTTATTTGTGATTTCGAACGATAAGGAAGCTTCAGCGACAATCTAAATTATACACACACGCGAGTATCTGGTTTGTATGTGCGTTATATGAAGATTCTTGAGCGTCTATACCTATATTTGTATTTGAAAATAATAATGAAGACCTATAAGAGCAAGCGCTGGTTGTAAATGTACAAAATTAATAAGCAACCGTGCGGTTAATAAAAATATATTAAACAAATGTTTCGGTTCAGTTTCGGACCATTTTCAACGTAGAATTAACTTATAAAATAAAGTTTCGTCGTAAAAATGTACGCATAATATAGAGATGAACCAATAGTTGATTCGATATGCGGCCAACGGGGATAGATAATTTTTTATGACCTCGTCTCACAATCAAACCAAATTACAAAATGTGGCCACGATAAGAAAGTTGCTATTTCGTGTCGGATATAATAGCGAATATATCCGATGGACCAAGCGTGAGTAGTCAGAAATTATAGCTACCAAAATGCAAGAACCCACGAAACAATTCAATAATGTAAATTGAACTCATAGTTGGTGTCAACGGTGACGTACAATATACTGCCTATCCTTTTATAGACCTTCCTATACCCGTTAATTGATTTTTAATCTAAGAGCGTTTATTTTTATATTGAAAATATCCAGGTGAATTCCCACGGAAATCCAACGGAATTCACGTGAATCCATATGGGATATTACAAATCCATATAGGAATTCACATGGTGTATAAAATTCCATATAGGAATTCACATGATTTGTTAAAATTCATATAGGAATCCACATGAATTGTTACCTAGGATCTGGGTTTTTGATACAAATCCCCAGGAGAAACCATGGGATTCTATATGGATTCCTACCTGGTTTTCCTCAACAGCGAATATATTTAATTTTTAATAATTATACTTAACTTTAAATAATTACTTTCGACTTTTGCGCAGCAGAATGCCTACATCAATTCAATATTGTTTTATGTTCAGTAATATGCTATCAATAAGTAGATAAAATAGGCGTAAATGAATTATAAGTGACGATAGAAATAATGAATTCGTGGTAGTCTATGTGACAACGAATACTTCGGCGATGTACGCGTCGTGCGCGTTTTTAAGGTGACCCTGCAGAGCCGCGGGGATCTCGAAATAAATTAATTTGAGTGTGGGATCAGTTTTTCAAAGAACCACGGCGACGTGTAGGACCGGTGGGACAACCACCCAGAGCGCCATTAGTTCTCATTATTTCCCCAGGCGCAGGGGAGGGGGGGATAAGCGGAGGACCATTTATTTATTTCGCCGTCGACCCGCGAAAAAGTTACGGTACATCGTATTCAATGAAATATTATACGCGCGACGAGCGATTCGATTCTTTTGGAAAAATGCAAGTCAAAACGAAATGTCTAGACGAAAAGCCAAGGGGCAACAAAGTTGAGATCGATCGGATTTTCGGAATATTTATTGCGTTTGATAGGACCACAAAAATACATGCACATATGACTGCGATGGTATGATTAATACTTTAATACTTTTTGACATTTTCCGACCGTTCGTCGATCAAGTTTATCCCGCGCGGCATAAGCGTATTATTACGCAGAGCTCTTCAATGAACAATTTTGCAAAATTGCAGAGTGTGCATGTCGTTTAGGGCGTAACGCACGCGCGCGTGCGCGCGCACTCGGTCGCGCATTGTAGGATGCCGGATTTTTAAAATGCGCTGCATGGACGCTGAAACGAAAATTGAAATATTTAAACCGCGTTATAAAATGTGACCGCCAGAAATATATACGGCGCGATCTTTATTTTTTATTTAGTCCACGCACTTGCCCGACCGGAGCCCGGTGTAAAAAATTAAATAGCACTTCGTAACAATATCACGCGAGAGCGTACACGTTTACGAGGGCTTGCTCTGGACGGAAACGATGACACTGGATGCACGACAGGCGTATGAGGTGGCGGGGGAGGGTTTTTTCCATTTTGTTCATAGCGCGCGAACGAGTTTCCCGGTTTTGATATTTAAAAAATAAATTATAATACACGCTGTCGCGCAGCGGTCGAGAGAGCGACTCTCGCGCAAGAGCAGAGGAGAGATAAAGAGATAGGGAATGAGGGGTAGATAAATAGAGAGAACGAAAGCAGATTTTCTCGCGCGACGCTCGTTCTTGAACGTTATTTAATATTCAAAATGGAAACGATTGACCGTCCCACTGATATATTATTTCTCATATAAAATATATAGAATTCATTAACGTAAATAATGATATGTAGGATAAATTTTAAATGATATTATTATTAATAATTAATAATGATTAATGAGTGATTTTTCGACTACAATTAATCGCATGTAACGTATTTAACACGTTGAAAATCACACTGGTTTCCATCGATCGTATAAATGTCTAACTGATGATTGCATCGTTAAAAAGGTACAGTGAATATATTGTTAGCAAAATTTCATAATTTAGTTGTAAAGTTGTTTTTACATAATCAAGTTATAAAAATTAATAATAAAATTAATATTACACTTAATAACGCATAGTTAGTTATAAAAAGATACTCTGAACTCAATCTTTCTTTTCATAACGATGCTGTAATAATTTAGAGTATGAGATTTAGTGAATGAATATAGTGAATGAATATCAGTGAAATACATCAAACTGATATATTTCACTAATATTCATAACTGATGGTTAATATCGTTGCCAAATTTCGTATCGTATATGTATTAATAATCATACCATATATTATTAAATATTAGAACAACTCTAATATATTATAACGTGTTATAATACGTAATAACTAATATGAAAACTAAACACCAAATTATACAATATAAGACAGACAAATATTAAATTTCACATTTGTTCTTTAATTTTGTAGCAAATATGAAACGTCGTAACTATTTTATAAATAAAAATACTGACATTGTAAAAACTATGAAAGGTTATAAATTTTAATATAAAATTCTTAAAATTTTTATTATCAGAAACGCTATTACTTTAAGGAATTTTTAACAGTATAAATATAATTCGTGTATCTATTACCTTGGCTCTTTATCAGCTGTATAGTCCACTTTATCGACGCAATTAATTACATTTTTTACGCAACTTAACAGGACATGGTAATATAATAGCACCATATAATATGACCGCCGTGGCAATCAACATGTTGAATGAACGATTTAATCACTCGCTTGATACGTACCTCGATGTGAGGGCGTCGCTCCATTCTGTTTCAACGGTGATACGCGGCTCGGCGTCGATGTCGTTCTCCGATCGCGGTGACGTCACCACCGCCTGATTGCCTCGGTACCAGGCGACCGTGCCCAGATCATGTGGACCTTGCGACATGAGACACGTTAGCGTCAACAGGCTTCCAGTCTTCACGTAGATGTCCGGCGGGCCGATTATTCTGGCTCGCGCTTCTGAAACAGAGAATGACGGGTTGTGATGAGTACGGGATGTTCCGAGGGAATATAAATTAACTGAAATATCGATTAAAGAAGCTCACTCGCGACCGGGACGATCCAAGGATCTCGGGAATGACGGCGCGGGCGTGCGCATGCCAGTGCATGTGATTTTCGTGACGTGCGCTCGAGGCGTTCGATCGCCGAGTTTGCTTCCCGTCCCGTGGTAATGCGCGATCATGCTCGCGTTCGCATAAAATCGTCGCAATTTGTTTGGAGAGGTCCTCGCGCCGCGAAGCGTGAATCTAATTTTACGGGACACGCCGAGACACGCAAACAAACACACGAAGCGAATGGATACGCGTGTCCACGAGCGCGCGCGCGCGCGCAAGAGAGAGAGAGAGAAAGAGAAATAAATCGGCAGCGAGGTAGCTTTAATCGTTGTGCGCTCGTTTACACGAGTTTACACGATGCTACGTCGAGCAGCTCGATGAAGCTATATCGTGATGTAATAAAAGGTGCGTGATTAAGTTCAAAATAAAAAAAAATAAAAATGATGGCGAGCCGCTGATATAGCGTTATTGCCGCCGCTGTTGCAGCTGCAGCGGCGGTGTTCGATTAAAAGCATCGATAATTGATAAAATACGACCGATTACTCCTCCACCCCCCTTTCAGGCAGTTTTGTAATGGCCACATATCCCACATCCTGACGAGGACACCATTTATGGTGCATTTGCGAATATCTACGCGGAAATAGTGCTTCACATTTTTACAATCCCGGAGCGCACGACTTTGGATTTATTTATCCATTTTTATCGGATAATTTTCGCGGAGCTTCGGATTAGCTAGATATTTTACGGCGTTTCACGGTACATTAGTTTCTCAAGTTCTTTATCTTTATCTTTACCTGAATATAGTACAGGTTATATTTGGTACATCAAAATTAAACAGCGATATCGAAAATCCTTTCTTTTATAAAAAAAAAAAAAAAATAAAAAAAAGAGTAAGTCTTACAACAATGAAAAGAGCAGCGACCGAATCGCACCGACGTAACATCCGCATAAAAGGGCGCTTTGAAAAACGACGGGAATGCATCTGGGAGATGTTCGATCGATAAGTCACACCGCGACTGTCCACCTTTCATCCAATGGATCCTCCCCTTCACCCGTTTTATATCACATCCCGATGACCGGGCGCATTCTCGCCAAGCTGTCATCCCGACATAGAGCCCTGCCTAGATTCTATCGCGAACGGTAAAATGGATGTGTCGAATTTGAAGAAGACGCGTTCGGCTCGGCCTTACAGAGAGTGAAAAAAAGGATTCTTGGCAAGGGATATCGGCGCGTTTCAGCGTAGCGAGCAATTTTCGCATTGATGTCACGGCTTTACTAAGTTTGGCACGTCAGTGTGGAATTACAGGCTACTCGGCGCACAAACAGGGCTTTATATCAACTAATTACACGTATAGTCGGTATTATGGCGGATCAGAATAAAGCATAATGCAATATCGATCATCAACGGTTGATGTCAAATTTATTTGTAATAATTGATAATAATTGAATCAGATGCGCGTCACGCTCGCAGTGTTTTAGGATTACCGGTTCTAAAGTTCACAAATGATTCGATTAATAATTCAATAGCTTCACTTGATATTTCCGATATGTATATGTGATGTTTTCTAAATACTTCAATATTATTTCACTGAAGATGCGCGATATGTCGGAGAAGATTTTTTGCGCGTGATGGTGGCTCAACGCGAGGAATGAAAAATTAATTTGCCAGCGATTAAAAATTTTCTCGAATGTGCACCATCGAGAAGATCCTCGAAGCCCACTTGTGTTGCCGGGGCGTCATCGTACTGCCGGTTGTCGTTGACGTTTCGAATACGATATCGAGACTAGGAACGCTGGTAAATTTTTTCGTTTTTTTTTGCCATTGACACGGTCGAAAAAGAAAATCGCGCAAACATTTCCTACCCTTCCGTTCTCATTGTAAGGGGAAAACTCATTTCTCCGTAGACGCAATGAAAACCAATGTTCTCGCTTATTACTTCTGTGTCGATTTAAATCGCGATGTATTCAAAATCTAGCTAGAATAACGTATTTACAAGAATTCCTGATAACTGAAAGACACACGTTCAGTCGAAGAGAGCACGTTGCGTAACGATGAGAGATTGTTTTCTTCGCGAAAGAATTAGACATTTATCGTAAGAAAAACTGTGAGATCCGATGTGAGGGTCGTAAAAGTCACGTTTAAAGCGATAGCCCTTTGTCGTCCACGTCTTACCGAAAATCTTTGACGAAGTCCCAATAAGATCTGGCCAAGGTTTTCTGAGAGATCGCCGTTTGTGATGCAAAAGATGCGCTGACCGTATTCCGACAAGTCGCTTTTTCTCCGCCTCGAAAGAGCGCCATCAGCTTTACATTACGCTGTATTGGAGATTAGTTTCTTTGTGACCCGGCCGCGCATCCATCTCTCTCTTTTCCTAGTGTCTCTTACATGGCGTTTGCGCTGCTTTAGATCGATAGTCCGCGACGTAGCAAGGAGCGCGCGATTATGCTCCTTTCAGCTTTGCACAACGTACGGTTTAAAAGCTATTGATTCATCGTTGCGCGAAAACAATGTATAGGGTCAGTCAAAAATTTTAGTTTTACTTTCTTGTCTTTTCTGATGGTAAATCTACCATCTACTTTTTACGATAGAAATACACGAATGTGCTGCCAGATCGTTGACGAAAGATCGTAGATGACGACGGCGATTAAGATGAAAATACCAATATTCGAACCTATACCTAAACCTGGATATTCTTTTTTTAGGTCTTTTAGTACGAATATTTAAACATTCAATATATAATATATATAGAATGTCCCAACATAAAGAGAACACCAAAATATTTTCTTTGTTTTTAATGATACGAGAAATATGTTTAGAATACAATTTGAGTAGTTTCGAAGGAGGGATACCGTGGAAGAAAATTTGTTTATGGTAATTTTTCAATTGCTTTTAAGGTCCCTATATTTAGATCCTCTCTATCATGAGGGAAGATTTAGTCGTGTTAAATTAGAGAAAATCCAGACGAGATTTAAAACTTTTTCTAACGTACGGTTTTAATCCTTTGATTTTATTTTCACGGCATACTATCTATCTTTGCAGTAGCAATTGGGAATAATTCAAATATATTTTACTTTAGATTTAGATATACTTAAGATTTGAGTTCTTTTCTAACATTTGGAATAACTGCAAGGTGAGCAACGCGTATGAACGAAACAAGGTGATATCCGCGATGCAAAACATCTCTCATATATTATTTCGTCTTTCGACTGACTTCTACTTCCGTCGGGAAGTAAGATAACTTTAATGGAACAGAAACCTAGAAAGTTACGGCTGCCTCAATGTGCATCTAATTGCACTCGTGTTACAACTGTCAGCTACATAAACACAGTCGGCTGGCGCTAATGGAAGTTCAACGTGGCAAATAATCGATTCCAGTTTGCGGAGCATTACGATGATGTAGATTACACGAATAATTCTCAGTTCAGTTACGTATCAACGTTGGCCTGCGGACTTGCGAGGATAATTACTTCGCCCAACTTGCATTCGCGATGTTAATGATACTGAATTAATATGTTTGTGTAGGTTATACGTATACACTGTTATACATTGTAATTTGCACCGTAGCACTGTTGTGGAAAATTATAAAAAAAAACAGAAGGAGAATAGTTACCTTGTTAAACGAGTGAAAAATAATTCTTCTGTTTGTATGTTGTATGATAAAATATTAATAAAATAATTACAATAATATACAAACCAAATTAGTGCGAACTATATATTCGGATATTTGATATCTCTATTTGGTATTTGATATGTATCTATTCGAGTCAAGCCGGGTTCGTTAATCGATGATTTTGGAATTCTAAAAGATTTTAATCTATACGAATCCATGTAGCGTGAAGTAAATATTGATTTTACCATCTTTAATATTGTTTTTTTTCATTTCATGTTATCGACATCCAATCAATTTTGAATATCCAATAATTGTAAGATACATATTCGAACGTGCGGAATAATTCGAACTCGCAAAATTGTATAAGTTAATTTATATTTTACGAGTGCCTGTGCATTCCATGGAAAGTGCGACTTAAAACGCGATAAAATTTTCACGCAATCGACGTTGAGTCCTTTTAAACTTTTAATCTTTTTTGCAATAGTTAATATTTCCGCGCGCAAATACGCAACGCCACGTCGCGCTATTCGAAATTGTGCATTTCTCCATGATCTCTGTACTGATACTGCGTACAGCGTTTCAGAGCTATATAGGCTCACCGCTTGCTACAGGTAAGGAGAAATTGTGCAGGTCTGAGTGTCAGCGCGTAATAGAGAACAGATTCCAATTTACAGCGCGTAGGAACAAGGAGCCCTTAGTGTAGCTAATCCGATGTACAGAATGGCGTACGCGGATGTATCAGCCGTTTAAGCTGCTTAACGTCAAAGTGACTCGAGACGCTTCCAAGTAGGTTCGAGTAGATATAACGTGTTTCATCGTATGACACGTGTTGCTAAAGCGTCTCTGAACGAGACGCTACTCATTTACAGCATATAACCGTTGGAAGTATGAAATAATGCTAATGAGATACAGGTTGTGTGTTAATCACATTAAGCTTTAATGTTTTCATTCTTGTGTGGTATTATGGAAAAGCATTTCTCGTGCGCTTTTCCGAGTATTTTTCTAAATTTGCTATTGGAGTTTTGCAACTTTTGCGTTTTTGCAACGTAGTTCATTACGAAGCCGCACGCGGGAAAAATGTAATCACTGCTGTTCGCGTGTTGTATTTTACGCAGGTATAAGATTTACGACGTGCGATAAAAATCACACGAAGACGTACCTACAATCGATCACAGGACGGTTGCAATAGTTTTATTACATACTTTGAAATACACAAAAGATACGAAGAAACAAACTTATCATTCATGAATATACGCAGTAGACGGTCAAACAGCTGTCATAATTAAATATACAT